AGACGCGTAAGCACTCGGCTGTTAACCAAGAGGTTGGAGATGTGAGTCCACGGAACAAAGGCCTCTCAATCTGCTTCAGAAAAATCAGCCACTGAAAACCCTACGTGACATTTTATTCTGACACACGAGTCAGAGTCAACTCACAGCAACTGGTTTGTCGTTGCCGTTGTTCTTATTGTGCAGATAACACGTTTGCTGATAACGAAAAGGGTGGAGGTTTGAGTCCTTCCAGAGGCACCTCAGAAGAAAGGCCTGGTGATCTACTTGCAAAAAATCACCCATTGAAAACCCTGTGGAGTATAGTTCTACTCTGACACACATGGGGTCCCATGAGTCAGAGCTGACTTGATGGCAAGTGTTTGTTTTTTTGGGGGGTGAGTCAGATGACCCATTCTTTATTGTACAGAATGACAGGCCTGATTTAAATGATACGGTTCTGGACTTTGGGGAAATGGTCACAAGCACACTATGCTAATTTTTTAATGGGACAAGACTTTTGGAGATCTTGGGAGTGGATGCCATGCATTTTATACGTAGAAGGGATGTGAATGATTGGGGGCAGAGAATGGATTGTGGTGGAGAGATTGGCAGGTGGCCCCAGTGACCCCCCTCCTGGTGTTCACACCCTGTGTGGCCCCCTCCTCTGGAGTGTGGGCAGGACCTGGGACTTTAACCAACAGGAGATGGCAGAGGTGACGGCGTGTCACTTCTGTGAGGACCTTACATGAGTCCCCACCTTGCAAAGAGACACTTCCTTGCCGGATCTGAGGAAGTAGGTGGTGATGGTGGGAGGCCACTTGGCAAGGGACTGAGGGCAGCCTCTGGCTGACAATGCAGAAGAGCTCTGAGAACAGACATGTGATTTTGGGTGCGAGTCCTTCCCCAGCCGAGCCTGAGAGGAGACCGCGGCCCTGGGTGTACCTCTGAGAGCCGAGGTAAGCCGTGTCCCAACTCCTGACCCACGGAGACTCAGACAACACGCGTCTGTTGCTTTCAGCCACTGAGTTCATGGCACTATTGTTACACGGCAGGATAAAACAAATACGGACACTGTAA